TATTTCTAGTAGTTAAAATTGCAAACCAAATAGTTACACCGTATGAAATCATTTATTTTGTCAGATTCTTGAAGAAAAAATACTTTTAAATTGTAATTTTAGCATGGTAGAGCCTTAACAAAAATCGTTCCGAAGGGGACTCCTTGGTACACTATGTTCACTTTTACAGAGTTTTTGTCAAGCTTACCGTTCAGTGTAAGGTTGCATATTTTGTATTTAGCTTATAACATGTATAATGATGTTAAAGTTTGACTTGTACAATTGAATCATTGTTTCTCAACATTGTATTTTTTTATTTGCCAGTTGTCAAAAATGGACATTTTTTGAAAAACGCCCACATAATGCACAAATAACTAATGATTTATTCTGGAGATCATATTATATTGGGAAAACGGACAGAAAGTCAAAGGACAAAAAGTCACAAATTTGATAGAACAAAAAGTCACAAATAATTTGTTTATAATTGTTTGAATATTAAAGAGAAAGGTTTTGAAATAATTACTTTTTATTGCATTTATTCATGTTACAGTTACATAAGCCTTGATGAAATTATCAAATTTATCAAATTCAAATCATGCTAAGGAAATATTTCTTGGCATCATGAACCCATTTAAAAGTACCAAGCCACTTTGACAAATTGTTTTCTTAACAAATATTTGATCAATTTTGATATATTTAGAATTCATTTTGTTTACAAAGTTGCTTTATATATTATAGTTCAAGAAAATACAATTTTATTTTTTTTTAAATAAGTGTTTTCTTATTCAAAGAAAAATAATCTCGAATCTGAATTGTGACTATTTGTCCTATGACTTTTTGTCCGTGACTTTTTTATGTGACTTTTTGTCCTGTGACTTTCTGTCCTACATTCTTATTATGCAGGCTGTCGACGAGTACATATTTTAAAAATATATATTTTTTCAAAAGTTTTTTTTTTTTTTTTCAAAAGAATTGTGATTTTTCAGACAATTTAAAATAATTTATGAACATCTATAACAATTCTAATAATAAATAGAACATTTTCGTTGTTGACAGGTAATATTTCAGTCGTATATAGCTATGATAACATTGTTTACGTATATTTGTACAGAAAAAAAACCGACTGAAACTCAACTTGAGGTATAGATAGTAATCATAAAATTATGCAATTTTTTTCAGTTTTATTTTACATATATTTGTACTATACATTTTCAGTTTGATGTATATCCAATGAAAATAGACAGCTTTGGTTGTTCTATTTTGGCACTTTCGGATTCTATACTATTACAAAACTTTGGGACAGAGCGCCCATCTAAACATGATTTTTCGAGGAACGCGATTCGAGCGTGCTGGCACTGACTAGTGAATAAGTGTAAGAAAAAACATTAAAAGATATTAATTGTCAAACGTCTAGAAAAGGTACTATACGAGATATCTCTTTAATACCCAATTCCCTATATGATAAAAAAAATTAGTATATAACAAAAGTTAACCACTAAGTCATTGAGAGTCCATTCGCTGCTTGTAGACCATCACTTAGACGTTCGGTCTGAATAAAACAATTTTCATATGCAATGCATACAAACTCCGGCCATTACTTCAAGATTTGTTTATTTCGAACTTTCAGTTGTCTATGATTTCATAACTAGTAAGTATGTTCTAACTAGTAAGTATGTTCAATGTCTTGGAAGAATACTAGCTAATTGTGTCGCAGGAGAGGTCCTGTAGCAAGATTCAATAAAGTTTCACTCATTCCAATAAAGTGAATCTGTAACTTTTAGAACTAAAATTATACATATAATATATAATATAAAAATAAGGAGATGTGGTAAGATTGCCAATGAGACAACCATCCACCCGAGTTCAAATGAAGTGGATAACTTCTTTGAAAAGTTTCTAAGTATACAAAACACATACATTCTATTTACTAACCCTGTTCTGGTTCAATAACAACCCTCAAATTAAATATCTAAATATAAAAAAAAAAATTAAATCAAGAACATTCTAAAAAGTTGCTGAATAAAATTGAGACCAAGTAACTTCTTGAAAAATTCATACAAGACGAAGTCGGTGTTTTACGTTTCCGCAAATTGGCATTACTTTTCCGTGAAAAAAAGATGACGTTTCCGCAAATAAATACCTTACTTTTCCGAGAAAATAGTAACGATTCCGGAAAAAATAAATTATTACTTTTTCGAGAAAAATAATTAAGGAGTACCTTGAACTTCGTCCTAAATGAAACCTGGAACAACTGATTGTAGCAGCATGAAATTTTTGAAACAGAAGTATGCATTGCACATTCAAAGTCAAAATGATCTACCTCAGGCTGGAGAGTTAGTCTTCGGGTAGTGCACACATCAATAGGCAGATCCCACATTTTGATAAAAAGTGGAAGTAACGCAAACACAAGAGGAATGTAGTTACCATTTTACACCCATGTATCGAATATTTAACTATGCCATCTATGAAAATATCTGTTATTTCATTACATATACGATCATAGACATTTCAAGTTGGTGAAACATAAAAATATAACGATTCCGACATCATCATCTTTCACTAAGGTGAAACTTTTATTTTTTTTATATCTAGTATATTGTAGATATAAGATCAGAACCTTTTTTGTATAAAATATGAAATAAATAATGTATCTAACATATATTCAAATATTAATAATTTACTACCAGGTAAATTTCCGGAAAAGTAATAAATACAATTTCTGGAAACGTATACTTTAAGTTTCCGGAAACGTAGTATTGGAACTTTGAAAAATTATCGGAAATGCAATACGCCCGACGAAGCAATAATCGGAACAAGATGTCTGTTGTTGGAATGTTATCATTATTACAGATGCCATGATTTCCCCTGAGGCTAAATTAAATCATAATAATCTAGATTTCAAATGTATTTTTGACATTAATTTAATAAAACAGACGAACTGTCGATATTCAGTGTACATTTGAGATGTTACGGCTTGTTTGATCCTCGCCGTCATTGGTGTTTTTTTAATTTTCTTAAAGCACCTCTGGTGCTATTTGGTGTCAACTAACTACGGGAAAATGTTTACGTCAAATTTAGATGGTAATTGTTGAAATGAAAAAAATATTCGTAAAATGTAAAGAGATCGTTGGAGAAATGTGAGTATCACTTAGATGAATTATAGTTGAGTACTATTAAGGAGAATGTGGCATATATTAAAGGGCACTTATCGGCTGATCAAAATTGTTTCCAGTTCAAGGTATGTATCAACCGTTTTTGTGTGTTCTGTTTAGAAATTCGTCATACTCCAAAGTGGAAAACTACGCATCGAAGTCAAAAGAACGGTGTATAATTTCAAACACTTATTATGAAGGGGTAAAAGTTTCGAGATTTAATAGTCTGATATTGATCACATTTTCATAATTGGGGCGTTTTGCTAAAATGGCAACATATAACGATATCCATTCCTGTTTTTTTAATTGACGGAACTTCTCACGTGTCTTTCTTAAAGAAGAGTTAAATGGTTTACGATAATATCATTTTCAAAGCAAACACAGTGTAGGAATTTTCATCGATTTTTTTTTTGGGGGGGGGGGGTGGGGAGGGGGGCTATATAGACCTTTTGATAAAGATTATAATTATGTCGTTGTCGTTTAATTATTGCGTATTGTCCGTTCTCTGGGATTCTTCAAAAGCATCTGAACTTTGGCATTTTCCCTTGTCAGAAATAAATATATAAATATTTTTTTTTTATTAATTATTGTTATTGAAAGAAATTCAGAATTTTGATAAAATGTGTAATATCAATTCTCTTATGTTACTTTTAAAGAAGACTAAAGTGAAGGTTTTTTCCCTTCTGTGTTGATATTTTGGGCATTTTTCAGACCTCCTTCCGTTAAAACATCAACCCAATTATACAATCGATGGTATTGTAGTCTATAGGACAGCCTGATTGTTTGTAAGACACTTTGAGGACATTATATGTATATCTAGCTTTGTTTTAGTTGTATGTGTTGTTGGGTTGCCGTCTTATGTGGATATTTTTTATGCTCTTCAACTTTGCATTTGATTTCGGCTTTTACATTGTTTTGATTCGAGCGCCATTGATGATTCTTATGTAGACCAAACGCGCGTCTGGAGTATCAAATTATAAGCCTTTTTTCATCATGAACCCACATCTCAATTTCTTCCTACTTATATCCATTCCATTCCATTCCATTCCATTCCATTCCGTTCCGTTCCGTTCCGTTCCGTTCCGTTCCCAATTCCATTCCATTCCCAATTGCATTCCATTCCCAATTCCCAATTCCATTCCATTCCCAATTCCATTCCATTCCATTCCATTCCATTCCCAATTCCATTCCATTCCATTCCCAATTCCATTCCATTCCATTCCCAATTCCATTCCATTCCATTCCGTTCCATTTCATTCCATTCCATTACATTCCCAATTCCATTCCATTCCACCAACCTGCTTTTAGAATACATAGTGCTTTTGATTTTGTTTTTACCAGAACCAGAAAATAAATTTCATAAAAAGAAACTTTTGCTTGATGGGAAATATATTTTGAATATGTTGAACAAAGAAAGTGAGTATCAGTTGCAAATATTACAAAATCGAGCAGCCGTTTATTCAAGACGAATATACCTTTGTAAGACTACACAACTGTTAAAAAAAAAACAAGGATGTGTCTATTTTTCCGGCTAGCCGAAAAAAAAGCCACTGCCAAAAAACAATGTAGGCATAACCATTTCAATATAATTATCTGATCTCTTTCGTTAAAATTGCATATATATACAACAGTAATGAGGGTGGTAAAGGGTTATTTTCGTGCAACGTGTTTTGCCATTTTTATTTCACGTGCAGCCATGAAAAAGTTTCGTTATTCACCGTGTTTCGTGAAATCGGTAAAATGATCAACGTGCAAGAAATTTTTAATTGTTCGTTCATCGTAAAATGGCTACTTTATTTCGCGTTCTTCCGTACAGATACCCCCCCCCCCCTTTTACGCCCCTCAGTAATCATTGTTTATTTATTTCAGGTGTGTGAGGCAAGGAAAACAACGTTTGAATAAGTAGACTGAAACAAGTGACAGGATCTGGAGAAAATGTGGTCCACTAAAAGATTATTATCATTTGTGATTTTGATTTTTGTCTGCAGGACTGTAAACTCTGCCACAGACGCTGATTTTAGAGATGTACTGACGGAACTATTCACAACGAGGTCATACGACAAAATCGTACGACCAATAACTAACCAATCGGAACCTGTTGTTGCTTTGGTCGAATATTTTCTGTATGGACTAAATGATGTAAACGAAGTCGAGCAAAAAATGACCACAACTGGATACATTGAAGTTTCTTGGAAGGATGAATTCTTGTCATGGGATCCAAATTTATATGGTGGTTTATGGTATATATACGTACCTCAGGGAAAAGTATGGAAACCCGATATTTCCCTTGGAAACGGTTTCAAAGACCTTAAAGAACTTGGTTCAGATTTTATCCAAGTATATATAACGTCTGATGGATATGTACTTTGGAAGCCATTTCAAATTTTTGAATCGAAATGTAACCTTGACCCCACTTATTTTCCATTCGATAAACAGACTTGTAATTTAGAATTTGTCGTCTGGAGTTTGGATATTGATGACGTCATGTTGCTTGTAGGTTCCGATGGAATCAACATGATGGAAGCTATGGAAAGTAATGGACAATGGGATGTTGTATCCTCTAGTTCGTCCGATGAAACGGTGTCAGTGGAAACGAAAGTCATTTTTTCCATAAGAATGAAACGCAAACCGTTATTTATCGTTATGAACATAATAATACCAATAATTCTTCTTTCCATCCTTAATATATTCACATTCCAGATTCCGGCTGACTGTGGAGAAAGAATGGGGTATACAATTACCGTTTGGCTCTCTTTTGCTGTATTTCTTACAATAGTGAGCGCTTCTTTACCAAAAAGTTCCGATACCATTCCTGTCATTTCTATTTATATCATGGTACAACTTGGAATAGGAACAGCAACAGTCCTTGTATCAGCTGTTCAATCTAGATTCGTCTCAAGATCGGACGATAAACCTGTGACGGCATGGTTAAAACGGCTTACACTCATTGGACGATCGAAAGTCGAATCAAATGCCGTTAAAAAGGTGAAAATTGGTGACGACGACAAAGTGAATTGGAAAAGTGGTATCGCTGCATTAGATGTACTATTCTTTTGGTTATTTTTCATCCTACTTGCTATTTCCACTTTCGTTATTTTGATGATTTCAGCCTTCATGCAGTAATTAATACGTTTAATACTTTAGTATACCAATCATAGACCCATAAAGGGCATGTTACATATAATGATTATCAAAAACATAAGTAAATTAAAGAAGAATGTGTCTTAGGACAGGAATTCCCCTGCTCAAGCTTTGTAATTTTCAAAGTCAAAAAGGGACATAACTCTATAACCGTAAATGACTCACTGCCCAAATTCGAACTTTGTCTGTGTGTTGAGGTTCTCAGCATTGTGTTTGAGTTTCATAAAATTTGCATAAGGGAAACTTAATTTAGAGTGTGGAAAAGAAAAAAAATGCAATTTTCCCAGTTATAAAGGGACCTAACTCTAGAACGGTAAGTGATTCACTGCTCAAATTCGAATTTTGTTTGCGAGTTTTGAGTCTTAGCTTTTGTGTATGAGTTTCATAAAATTTGGATGAGAAACGCTTAAGTTAGAGTGCAGAAACGAAAATAGGACGAACGGAAGGACGGTCAAGAGTATAATACTTAATGCCCCTTCGCCTAGCGGCGGGGGCATTAAAAAAAACAATACTGATAGTGCTTATTTATTTTTAGCGACCCTGCTCAATAGCTAACTCATAAGCACTAATTCTCAATTGTACGTGGTACTTTCTAGTTTTAAAATTCCACACAACAGTTAGATAAGTGTCCCTTTTGAAAATATCCTTAGATTTGAAATAATTTCGTACTTTATTTACGAGCACCTGAAATCACCCGCTGGTTTTAGTTGGGGTTCATGTTGCCCAGTCTTTAGTTATTTATTTTGTGTTTTGTATACCGTTGTTTGTCTTTTGGTCGTTTTACGTTTTTTGACATGGCGTTGTCAGTTTGTCATCGATTTATCAGTTTCAATATCCCACTGGTATCTTCCGCCTCTCTTTAACCCCTTTTCACTGTAGCATTCTGTTAAAAATTATCTTTCAAAAATTGCATATACCTTTTAATTAATACATCTTTATTGGTTATAACAGCGAAATTCAGATGGTACTCAGAATAGAATCGTGTACGGCTTCTGATTGAACGATACAGGATTGGAATTACTTTTAATCGAAAGGTTATCCAATTAGGTTTAAAAAATTCAGAAAATCAAATTCAAATTTTACTAAGTATAGAACATATATTCAATCTTTGCACGTATAGGAGCCATTAAAAATTTGCCTTCTTCATTAAGCGGAAAAAGTAGACGTTGTTTTTCAACTGCATTTTAAGTCAATTTTTGCCGCATGACCATGTATATTTTTCTGGTTGTTATGCAACGCCGAAATTTCCAGTAAGAGGAACTGCTACCCATTTTTTCTATTATGTGTAGTATTCGAGAAATAAAATATGAAACAGCACTGGTACCCTATGAAAAATGAATTACGCATAATTGCGCTCTTGTAAACTATACTCATTCATATGACTTTGTGTATATATTTTCCTGCTTCCGAAGTTTTATAAATGGGTTATGATCTTTGTCATTTAAATGTGAAAATATATCAAATTTGGTAAAGAATAGAAATAAAAAAATATCAAATTTCACCAAAAATAACTTTTTGTTATCGTTTTGATATCGTGAATTACATGAAAGATTTTCAGTGAAAAATACACGAATTTAAGAAGTCAAAATTGAGAATGGAAATGGGGAATGTGTCAAAGAGACAACAACCCGACCATAGAGCAGACAACAGCCGAAGGCCACCAATGGGTCTTCAATGCAGCGAGAAACTCCAACACCCGGAGTCGTCCTTCAGCTGGCCCCTAAACAAATATGTATACTAGTTCAGTGATAATGGACGTCATACTAAACTCCAAATTTTACACAGGAAACTAAAATTAAAAATGATACAAGACTAACAAAGGCCAGAGGCTCCTGACTTGGGACAGGCGCAAAAATGCGGCGGGGTTAAACATGTTTTTTGAGATCTCAACCCTCCCCCTATACCTCTAGCCAATGTAGAAAAAACAAAGTTGTTTCATAAAACGTTGATGTAAAATCAAAGGGAGAATACTGTTGAACGATCGATCTTGAAACAGCAAGTCAACAACTATTAAAAGCTCAGAAAGATACCGATTTGATCCAAAAGGACGCACAACTTTGGAAAGTTTCTTTTTTAAATTAGAAACGGCAACTTTAACGATTATTTATTGATTGTGGCCAATTTTTCATGCATATTTAGAACATGAAAAATTACAATTAAATAATATTAGTTTTCTCTCGGAGTGGGCCGACCGGAATGAAAGACGGGAAATTAAGAAACTTTTTAAAATGAGGGATATTTGTATAGGCGCAATAATTTTGAATTGAAACCGCCACATATGGACCCCACAAAGAGTCGTTGCAAGTTTGTTTTTAACGTGTACAGAGAGCTTGACACTAGTTAGGTAGATCAGGTGTTTTCTGAGCACCCTTTCTACTCATGTTGCAAAAATACTTTTTAGGTTTAAAAATATCTTACCAAGAATCAGTCAATATAAAACAGAAACATCTAAACTAGAAATTTAAAGATTAGACTATCATAAAATGAAGTATCGTTAAGCGTATTTACAAATTTCAGAAAAGAAATCCTATTAAAAAAACACTTTTTAAGGAAGATCAGGTGTCTTCTGAGCACCCTTTCTGGTCATGTTGCAAAAATACTTTTTAGGTTTAAAAATGTCTTACCAAGAATCATTCAATACACAACAGAAACATCTAAACTTGAAATTTAAAGATTAAACTATCATAAAATGAAGTGTCGTTAAGCGTATTTACAAATTTCAGAAAAAAAAATCCAATTTAAAACAAGGGCAGATGGTTATATTGAATTTGACAGTACAATTTGTGTTTGTTTTTTGTTCTTTTTTTAAGAAAATAAGGCCCGTGACCCCCTATTTCTATTTGATATTTCGGAAGTATTGATGCAAAGCAATTCTTTCGATCGTTTAATGTTTCCTCAATAAGGAAACTTTAGGTTGCCCCTATATAACCCATATAAAACTGTGATTTCGTTAATTTCATTGTATTTTCACGAGAAAAAAATCCCTGACCCCTTGTTTTTATATTGCAATTTGAAAGTACATTGATCCAGAAGTCTCTTACAGAAGTTTAAGAAAAATCTATAGTCGAACATTTAGACACCCCAGCTACCTTAACTACACAATGTCGACACGATGTGGCTAAGTATTTATTAATCCCGCATATTCTTACGGACCTCGTTTTAAGTACGGCTTTTACTGTTGGATTTTGGAAGTCCAGATAACTATTGTAGGTATATTTCTTTAGTGAAAAACTTTAATTGAATAAGATCGCTTTGAAATTACGTTCGAGGTTGGTCGTTTTTCAAATCTACCAAGAAATTTATTTTTAGTGATTTTGTAAAATTGCTCCTCTGCTTGTGTCGAAGATAAGATTCCTTTCTTGACTTTATGTGAAATGCTGAATTTGATAGTTTTATTCTCTTTGATTTTATAAGAAAAATTGTTCCCAATTTGTTAATACTGGACAATGAGTAGCATGCAATCCTTAGTTTTATCATTAGTCACAGCTGGGTTGCGAATGTGGTAAGCATGTTCAGTTGAATATCAAAAAAAATATTAAAAAAATAGTTTTCAATTATTGTTTTACTATATTGAATGCATGGGACACTGTTATAGACTTTATATGTCTGTGAAGTATTATATTGTATTATGTATGTATAATTTATGTATCTATGCTTGTCAATATTGTGTTCCCTCTATAATATGCATGTTCTTATGCCCCTTAGTGGGTCTTTGGTTGGAAACGAAGTAGTTTATGTATTTGTGTTGTTTTAAAAATTAATTAGTTTGGTGTGTGTTTTGCTTGTTGCAATGCCTGAATGAAAGATAAAGATGAATAAATTAATGTAATCAAGATATATACCGTATAGCGGGTTATTTTCGCGGGGTGTAAATTTTCGCTTATTTTCGCGGATAAAACAAAATCGCAAAAATAAATTCCGCCAATTTAAAAGTGTACATGCAAAGGTATTGATAAAAGTTTCGAATCCGCCAAAATAATAACCGCCAAAATATTTCGTATTCTTTATTCAATGGAAATAGCGAAATTTTACACCCGCGAAAATAACCCGCTTTACGGTATTTATTATTTCATTTACGAAACCTCGTGTTTATTCTTTCCTTGTAAGGTTTAAACAAACAATAAAAATGCGGGGTTTTTTTGTGTTTTGTTTCAAATATTTAAAAAATTGAAAAATCAAAATAATAATTCGCTTTTATTTTGATCCAATTTTGTAAAAAATAAGCTAGAAAAGCATCACTTATATATTACTGTCTTGCAAAACCATAATTAGACCTCATTTTGGCTCCGTAAGCATGCAATCTTTAGTTTTATCATTAGTCACAGCTGGGTTGCGAATGTGGTAAGAATGTTCAGTTGAATATCAACTTTGAACAGTGAAAAAAGGGAGCCACCCGAAAGAAGCAGTTGCTTGACTGCTTCGGCCAAATCGGCAAACCTCCGCAGATTCCGTTACGCCAAATCTAGTAGTAAGATCTGCCGAGGTGTGCTGAATGTTTTTCGGCCCACATAAGAATCATTATTATGCAGGTAAAACGATGATTTACTTGTTTGTTTTAATCGATATGACATGAAATTCAACAAACCTAGCAAAATTGTCATTATACTGTATTGCACGTGTTTGTTTGTCTGTCTATACTTATCATATATCATGATTACAATTTATCTTTTTCATTATCTTTAAAGCACTTCGTTGGTTCAAAGGAAATTCGACTTCAATCGATATCAATAAACAGGATAACACGTTCGAAAATGTCTTTTAAAACTATGAGGGGCCTGATGGGTTATTTTCGTTCTTCGTGATCGGCGAATTTTCGCTATCGTGATCCGTTTTTCTACAGATTTTTTTTTTTTTATGTTTTCGTGATCCGTGATCATGGAAATTTATTTTCTGTGAATCGTGATTGACAAAAAAATCAACTCGTGAATCGTGATGAGACCCCCCATCAGGCCCCTCAACTATGATTCCTTTTCCGAGTTTGGTTATTCTTCGGTCTTTTTGGATTTATAAGCTCTCCGCCGTTTGCACTATTTGTCAAATATATTAACCCAGAGCATCACTGAAGAGACATTAGTTGTCAAAATGCGAATCTTGTGCAGAAAAATTAGTACCGTTCATGTTATGAAAAAAACCTTGCACAAATCAGGATGAAAATGAATATTTCACCCAACTAAATGCAGAAAATACATGTGTTTAAAAGTGGAAATAGAAATAAGCGAGACTCGGTAAAGGTGGAAATGAAAATTGCATCAGGAAAAAATCCGCTTGGATTATTTATACAAGAAAGACAACTCAGACCGTTTATAAGTTTATTAACTCTGTTCGTTCTTAAGACAATGGACGATCAACTTTTTGTTCAATTTTGAATACATATGAACCGTATTTGTAATTTTGTATAGACGAAAGTTGGCTTTATATGTTTGTGCTCTTTGTGTGTTTTGTTATTTCTGATGACCAAGCCTTTCGGTCATATAACTTTACTCGGTACTCAGAGTACAAAATTTGTGCTAGAAATAAAACACCAAATCAGTAATTTTATTGGTTGATTTCTGAGGTTGAGTATGATAATCGTACTCATTTTTTTTATGACCGCAAGGTCATACCGTTCCTTAATAATCTTAACTAGATTTAACAGTAATCGATTTATTTTAACAATACAGTTAAATTAATCCACCAAATCATAGTTTTAACATAATCATTGTGTAATAAGATCATTACAATTCCGATATTAAAAAATCTGAAAAAAATAAAATACAATAATTATTTTGAAAATAAAACTTAAAACCACTTTAACATTCAACTCTCATATTACTGTCACTTTATGTATTTTATATATATATAAAAATAAGAAGATGTGATATGATTACCAACTCTCCACAAGAGACCAAATGACATAGAAGTTAACAACTATAGATCACCTACGGCCTTCAACAATGATCAAAACCCCGGATACCGTATAGTCAGCTACAAAAGGCCCCTAAATGACAAATGTAAAACAATTCAAACGAGAAAACTAACGGCCTGATTTATGTAGAAAACAATGAACGAAAAAACAAATATGGTATAAAGCAACAAACGAAAACTACTGAATTGCAGGCTCCTGACAGGCACATACAGAATGTGGCGGGGTTAAACTAGTTTGTTGGCACCAAACCATCTCCTTAAAGTTTATTAGAAGTTACAAACAAGCTATCTATGATGCAGTCTCAGGGTAGCGTGATCGCTTCGCTTTGCGTGTTTGCACTTCTTCGTTTAGCGATCGACCAGTCGATTCGTAGTCACAATAATGTATCCGGGTAGGGTGACATGTCTTCTTGTTGACTGTTACCTTGTGAGCTAGCACATTGAAAAATCCGACCCAGCGTGTCGGTCTAGTTCAAAACAGGATTTATAGCATGTTCTCGTCCTGTATGTGCATTTAGTTTGCAACTGGACGTCACACAGCCATCCAACGGATGAACCCTCCATCCTATTATAAAGCATATAAATATAATAACCTATATTTCTACAGTAAATGACCGAAAAATACGAAAAAGAACCTTTTATCCTAAGTGTATTGTTAAAAGCTATTCGAGTTGTCTTTTAATAACGGCAGTGGATTTAAGTCCTTATTCCCGTGATTTGGCGTAAACATTTACATACTAGCATATTTAAATTTCTACAGCATTTTTATTCAATATGTAAATTAATGTTTATTTCTTGTAATTTTTGCAAACAGAATATTTTGTTTGATATTATACCTTGTGCTTCAGTTAAAACGTCATTTGATTGTCCGTTTTTTTTTCAGATACAATTTTGACTATCAATCCAGTATGTGTCAGTTTTGTAAAGCTGTTGTCATCAGCATCACTAGGGTTGAAATAATAAGTACTATAATAAATATCCAAAAACATGTAAAATCTAAGGCGGCAATCCCTTCTTTCCAATCAACATTTGTCTCGTCTGATTTTTCTCTCTTGATTGAATCCGTTTCATTCTTGGTGTTATAGTGCTCATCACCATTTTGATCAATTTTGCAAGGTTTCACTATATCAACTTTCCTCTTGCAACATGCGCAGTGCAAACGTCTCTTAAGCAATGCAACCTTCTTTAGCAGTGAATACACAGGAATGTCATCTGATAGACATACTATGCGAGACAGCCATGCCGACAACAACACGCTGAATGTACCAATACTGAGTTGTATTATTATATAGATGGATAACACGGGAATAGTATCTGAACTTTGCGGAAGTGACGCGCTTATGATGGTCAAAAACACTGCAAACGACAACCAAACTGTAACGGTGTACCCCATTCGCTCTCCAATATCAGCTGGAATTTGGAAGGTGAATATGTTCAAAACTGAGAGCAATACTATCGGAAGTATGATATTGATTATGAAGAAAAGTGGTTTCCGTTTAATAACCAGAGTAGCTCGAATTTGAGAAACGCCTTCATCAGAAAAAGAAACGATCGAAGATGAAACAAGTTCCCATTGACCATTACTGTCGGAAGCATCTTCTGTGTTGACTCCATCTGTCCCTACTTCCAAGTAGACTTCGCTATCATCGAATGCCCAAGCAATAAAATCTATGTTACATGATTGTTTCTCAAAAGGGAAATACGTTGAATCAAGCTTACATTTAGAGTCAAACACATGAAACGGTTTCCACAAAACGAGTCCGTCATAATCAACTTCAGCATGGATAAATTTCGAACCGAGGCTTTCTAAATCTTTAAAACCATTTTCTAGTGCAATATCCGGTCTCCATATATCCTCTTGAGGTAGAAATATGTCTGCCAAATTTCCATAGGATGAAGGCGTCCATGTTAAAAGTTCATCATACCAGTAGATTTCGAGATAAGCTGTAGTTGTTAGCTTTTGCTGAATTTCGTCGAATGCATTTATTCCATAGAGAAAAAATTCAAGATATATTGTTGTTGGATTTGATTGGTTTGTTGTTGGTCTGACCAGTTTGTTGTAACTTTGTGTGGTAAAAAGATTCGTCAGCAGATTTTTAGCATCTGTATCCGTTTGGCAGTACGCATGTCCTATAAAAATAGCAAAAATAAATAAACAGTTCTTCATCTCAGTGTGTAACTAAAACGTGTCAAATCCTTCCCCCTTTTAACGACGATAAAACTCAACAAAGAAAATGTACATCTGATTTGTTTAGTTTTCTTGTTACTATTTCAATTTATATTTAAATACTAAAACAATATTTTATTTAGTATTTTTCAAGACAAGACTAGTCTATCCCAATATAGGGTACTTATCTGTGATTAAGAATTGTGCTATAACATAAGTATAGTATAGTACATAAAACATGCGACAACAATCAAACATATCAATAAAGCCTAGATATTTAATAAAAAACATATAACATATATAAGTATATCGATTTCCGTAAGACCGAATCGTGTTTTCGAAAACATTCACCTGGCATGCTACAATTTTTGCCTATTACCTTGAAAACTATAATAGATAAATAGAAACTTTCAAGAGGAAAAAACATCAGCAGGATATGATCAACTAAAATGTCAACATTACTAAAATTGTCAGTTAACTCTTAATAGAGTTATTTCCCTTTAATGATGATTTTTTACTCCAACGTAGCCATTGTTGAAAATGCAGGTGAGCATATTTCAATGCTGTTGTCGTCAACTTATGGGGGTCAGAAGGGGGGTCTGGGTGGGGCGGGGGGGGGTTGGCTCTTCATTTCTGTATTCTTATTTTTTTTCCATCATTTTTTTCAATTCTTTATAAATTTATCAAATTATCTAAATTGGATAGACGTCGTTTACATACTCAAAACACAACTTCAATATAAAAGTAAGATGTGGTATGATTGCTAATAAGACAACAATCTACCAGAGACAAAATGACGTAGAAGTAAGCATGCAACTCAAAGTCAATTTGACTGTGTTTACGAAATCAGACTTTCTAGACCAAATGTTCCTGCTTATTGTTTTTCTCGTCTGTGTGGTTTTTTGTTTTCTTCTTCTTTTACGAGTGCTCCGTGATGCTAAAATATTTGTCAATTCCTTTAAAACTGCAAAAAATATTGAAGATGAAATTCATTTCTTTTTATATTGTGATAGTAACAGTAACAATAGAAAAGTTTATTTTGATTTATTGATAAATGATAATATGCACTTACAGATTTAATTGATACAGATAAAATTACATATTTACTCAACCCAAGATCACACATTCAGCTAAAATAAGCTCGGATCCTTTTTAAAACAGTCTATAGAACTGATGACAGGGGACTCTTGAAATATTTACTTTTATTATGTATATTAATGATCTTGTTGATATTGTTTATTTTTATTTTGTTATGCTGTGTCACATGCTATAAATGCATGGTGTAATGGCAATACAGATTTGAATTGAATTGAATTTTAACATTAGTTATTTTTTCATTTTTCCACAGGGGCATCTTCGCTTGCAAGCACTGGATCGTAAGTTCGTAACTTTTGGCTAGGAAAGATGCCACAGGGGCTGATTTACACTAGTAAGTGAGTCGGGTATTTTATATAAGATAAAGACCGCCATTGACATTACAATATCTTTATTCTCATAATCATTGCATGCAGATAGAGAGGCAGCAAAATATGTACAGGAGTATGCATCTATTTACAAACATTTATATACAATACAGTGTTTTCAAAATAATGTGCATTTTAGCCGGGAGGACCCACATGTTTGTTTAGGACACACTTTATGAACTTACATAATCTTTTTAGCTCTGACTTTTTGTTTAATTGGCTCATCAGTTTTTAAACTTTAATGTATTTACACGGGCCAAATAGTATTTTTCAAGTTATAGTTTCCTACTGTCTTTAAAAATTGACATTCTAGCAGATAATGAAATTCGTCTCGAATGCTTCCAAGACTACAAAGATGACATTTTCTATCATTTCTATCAACGTTATTCCACCTCCCTGTTTCTATTTGGAGTATGTGGTTTGTGGTTCTATATTAACATAAAATAATACTTTCGTGCAGATCCAAGATCTCAAACTATTTTTCAAAATTGAAGAATTGATGATATTCTTTCTCTGTTCAGTATATACTGCACTTAGCCAAAAGCTTTGAAGAGATGTTCAGTTAATATAAAATGACTTGTCAAATACATAGGCCGAAATGTAAATAAATCTAATTTATATTTTAAATAGAGAGACTTTGGATAAAATCACTTATTAAGATACAAAGGTCTATATGTAAATAAATTCCAATTACACCATTTTAAATAGAAAGCAGTCTCTCGATTAATTCTTAAATAAAATAAAATATAACAGATGTTAATGCTTGAGAAAATTAAATATACCAGTTATTTGTGTCATTGTTTGTTGTTTAACTATCTTTATAAACACGTGGTTAACAGTATATAGATATTGAGGATTGTCCCCGTCCTGAATTTGACAAAACAATATTTGTATTTTCAAAGGTTTATTGAAGATTGGCAGAAGGGACTAACTTAATAACTATAATGAATCGTCAATTCTACGGTATATGGACAGAGGTCATACTGATTCCTTTTTTCTCTGTTTATTTTATATAAATTAATAAATTTCAAAAAAATATTTGATTTAATTTCTTCACCAATTTTCATGAAATTTTCACTAATAATCTCAGAAATATTTGCAATTTCCTATGTCAACGGTCAAATAATTTTTGAAATTTATTTTTCAAGCGTTCATGATTTGGTTGAAATTTTATTGATGATGTCACATGACAATAAAAACATCAAGTTACTTGTGACATCAAAACATTAAGTTCATGTTTAACTTGTGAATTCTGGGAAATTAAGATTTAAACAAAATTATGCATGAAAATTGATATAGATATATACAAATAGTTCCGAGTTTAATGATGAAAATTTCGTGAAAATCGGTTGAGAAAATCATTAAAAGACAGGGAAGGATCCAGGATTTTAGGTTAGAGAGGGGGATCGCAAACCGAGATTTTCGCGGAGCGGAGCGAGGCTAATTTTTTTGGAGGTAAAAATATCGAAATATTCTTTATTAAGCTGAGGATAATCCATACTTTGCAAATTTTCGGGGGGTGGGGGCGGACGCCCGCCACGCCCCCGCCTGAATCCGCCTCTGAAAGATACTTTATAAGTTGATACGCCGTTTCGTCTATGACTGATCAGTGGTGCTCGATTGTATGCAATTGGCGGGCCAAATCAATCCGAAGTCAAAAAGCATTAAAAACTGACTATACCGAAAAGGGCCAAAAACGGCTTAGGCAATATTTGCTTAGGGTAGAAACACCTTTAAGTGTTTGAATCATTCAACATTTTACAAACAGTAAATTTACAGAAAATGAACATGTTATTGAAATTTTATGTCAACAAATTAGTTTAAAGTATTTTTTATTGAAAATTAACAAACTTGTGTAGAAAAAGAAGTAAAACATTGAAAAGAGCATGACTTTTCTTCACGTTCTGTATCAGAAAATGATAAAATCGGCCTTTGCTACTACAGCACCTATTAAAATAAAACTATGAATATTAATGAAAAACATTATAAAATAAATAACAATCACACCGTTAAATATATTTCGGCCAGGAACAAAATTCGGGTTCAAAGTGAATATAGTGCCCGCTATGTAATTATTTCAAAACTTTCCTTTCCACAATGTAATGATTTTAATTTATCACATTAAAGAGGCTTTAGCTACGATTTTGACCAAAAGTTCTTTGTTTCACACATTTTTAAATGCGAAATTGTGAAATATTATCCCGCTCTTAGCAGTCAGTTGTATTCAATTTTGTCATAATAAGCTAAAAAAAACAACATCGGTAATGTATTATTGGCTTGCAAGTCAATAATTCAACTCATTTTATTGCGTAGTCATTCGACCTTCGATTTAACTTTCATCTGGAGATTGGTTACTCGTGTGTAAAACATGTTTAGTTATTAAAAGGAAAATAATATAATCATTGGAAAGTGAAACTAGGGAGCCACGGGGGAGATCCATTTCGTTGACTGCTTCTTCACACAAAAAATCATTCTTATTCAGGTGACATATTTTTTTAATCAATGACATGAAATCAAATAGACATAGGAAAATTACCATTATAAACGATTGCACGTGCCTTTCTGTGTATTAATACATATCAAGTCGTATGCCAATTGGCATTGTTCGGGGACATCTCGATGGTTAATTAGACGGCGTCTAGTCTAAAATACACACAAAATGCAGATCCATCTTAACGAATCAATGCGTTTTAAAATATTTCTTTTGTTTTTTTTTTTTAATTTGCATATAATTTTTAGTGTTATAAATCAAATGTGAGAATTTGAGTCAATTCGGTAAACATATATTATCAGTTAACAGCTAATGCCCTTTAATATTGTTTGTTTGAATGTCTGCCTCGCCATGCTCGCTTAAAACTGAATTCAATGCCAGTTGTACAATTTCTAGTCCGATATCCAGTTTAGTTTGTATTAGAGCATTTGCATTATTCACGTATCAGGATACGTGCACGGATCGACGAATACGTATCGGACAGATTTGTATAAAATAATAATTTATCCCCGATCTGAATTAAAACTAAATTAAAATTAAATGCTTTGTAAAATATCCTCATCGGGACCAACTTGACTTAATTTACCCTTTCCTCGTATACGTGTTATACGATACGTCGATACGGATACGCCAGCAAATACGTGAATAACGCAAATGCTCTATTTAAAACACAACCCGAGTTAGTTATTAGCGAAACCGACATTGAAACGAACTCGTATTGCTATGAGTTACAATTTATGACAAAAATCAGCAAAGACCCATCGAAACAACATCTGATACACAAATTTAATAATACTTTTAGATATTTGGATGATATTTTGGCTCTCAATAATGACGACTTCAGTATGTATACTAAAGAAATTTATCCTGTTGAACTTACTTTAAATAAAGCTAATACTAACAATGACCACTGCCCTTTCCTCGATCTTGATATCTATATCATTAATGGAAAGCTTAATACTAAAATATATGATAAAAGAGATGATTTTTCATTTCCTATCGTTAATTATCCATTTTTAGATGGTGACGTTCCCTTGTCACCATCTTACGGTGTTTACATATCTCAACTTGTACGATTCG